GAATAGCGTAATTATTACCCGGAAGGAATGCACATCCATGCCATCCAAGGGCTCTTGTCCCCTTGGAAATGTTTCACCATCTCTCCCTCCCTCTCCCTACACACACACACACACACACACACACGCTCACTGATCAAATTGGGGGAATTTCCCTGAAGCATACAGAATAATGGCATTTATTTTGGCAAGAATTGTGCAATTTGTTAAAAGAAAGATAAGGTATGGCATTTATGAACAACTGTAATTATAGTATATCTCAACAGATGCAGGAAGTATATTTTTCTTCATAGTTGAAATACGGCTTCATGGGTTTCCCAACATCTGGCTCTTGCACACTCTTCATCTAGAAACCAGACTGGATCAGTTATATGTGGAAAGGGATGATAACTTATGACTAGACCACACTCCCGTATTAAAAAAAAAAACAAAACGAAACAAACAAAAAAAAAACAGGCTGCATTGCTAGGTTCTCCTTTTGAGACACCAAATAGACCAGGGAGTTACTAAAAATGCAGGGGAATTATAAAGCAATTCATACTAAGAACACAACTTGGCCTTATGAATTGCCTCTCTGGCAAAATTAAATGCAGCAAAAAAAGATACTGTGTTTTAAATGAAAGGTAATAAATGAAATTCATCAGGTAGATATGAACGTCTCCCGAGATCCTGTAACTCAGCAGAGTGCAGATGAGATATATGCTCTCTGTATATACAGTGTGCAACTACCACCAAGACCCACTGAGTGCCCACTTCTTGCCTCAGCACCAGAGTGCCAAAAGCAAAGATTCCAGGTACAATCAAATAACACTGCTTTACCTATTAATTAGAATGGGGAACTCAAAGGAGGAAAAGGTACAAAAAAAGGCCCTTTTGGATTTCTTGATTAATCCCTATAGATACATGAAAATACAAACTTAAGTGAAGAGAATGATTGCAGTTTTTACACAGAGGCAAGATAACTAAAACATCTATTACGTTAGGGTAACTACTGCAGATTTAATTAGACAATGCACATAATGCACTTAGCATTAAGTACCAATAAACAGGAACTACTAGGAATGCCTATGCCTTAATATATTTGAAATTTGTGGTCTTTATGACCTAAGCAGGACCCCCAGCAGGCTGGTAAGCTGTTTAAACTGCTAAACAGCTAAAGTCAAATACTGAAATCAGTTTAGTGAACTAAATTTTCTAACAGTCCTATTTATGGTTTTGCACAGGCACCCATCTATCTAAAACCATCCTGTCTCAACAACATTTTTAAGTGGTAGGTGGGCGAAGCCACAGCAGTAGCTCTTTCCAAGAATCCCCCTTATCCATTGGCTGTTATTACCTTTTTCCTTCCCTACCAAAGGGAGGGGCACACCCTGGGTAAAGCTGGAGCTCATCTGAGCTTGGCTGCTGGAGGGTGGTGGGGAGTGACCCTGGGCAGGGCGGATAACACAGGAAGCCAATCTCCTCTGGTTTCCGCCAGAATTGTGCATGACAAACAGCGCCACATCAGATGGCAGGCAAAGGTGTGAATGTAGCATTCAGGATCATGTTAATATGCAATGTGACATAGGCAAGATGGTATGCTGGGGGCTCCATTACCTGCCAGCACTTCAGGAAGGATGTTTATCATCAGGGCCTTATTTGGGGGTGGGAGTGAGGGAGTGATTTCTCCTGGTATCAGGGAAGAAAAGTGAGTAGCATCTAACTCCCAGAAGCCCAGATCTACAGGGAGCACTATAGTTGAAGGCGGCTGAAGTGTTAAGGTCTCTTAGGGGTACAATACCATGGATACCAAAAGCATAGGTAGGTGAGGAACATGAAGGAACCTGACCCCTCCACAGATTAGCCTGGACCCAAGCCCAGCCTATTTCAACAGCCTTTCATTTTATAAGTGAGAAGTTAGGAAAGAAGATCAAAGGCTCAGATCTTCCTCTAGCAGCTCCCTTTGCTTAAGCAAAGCGGGGAGGGGGAGAACAGTCCCATATAGAGCTGAATGTCACTTCTGCTACTTTTGATGAGGCCACTTGGAAATACGAGCAAAATCAAGCAGGCTCAGCATCCTAGGTTGGTTGGGACAGGACACAGATAGTTAACATCCAGGAGCAAACTCAGGCTGCAGAATCAGGAAAACCTGGGTGTGAGTCCTGGCTGGACTGTCTGTTGGCAGCAAGAGCCTGGGCAAGATGCTTCACATCTCTGACCCTTGTCTTCCTTGTTCATAAACATGGCCTCATGCCTATCTCAAAGGATGCTTGAAAGATTAAATGAGTGTTTGCTAAGGTCCTAGAACTTTACCTATCGCCCAAAGGCCTTCAGTAAATGATACTTATTTTATGTCTGCCTTAGTGTTAAAGGATATTAAACACAGCAATGTCTCCAAGTTCTAAGTAAGTGGGAAGCCTGTTCAGACAATGAAAAGCAAAATTAATTCACAACTGGCTAAATCACAGAGTATGTGGACTGGTAGGAATCTTATAGACACCCAGATTACTCTCTTTGCAGAACTGTGAAGGAACCATATCTGTGGCAGTAGAAGAAAAACCAAGAAAAGATGTCCCTTTAGCTTTTATCAAAATATTTTCAAGAGAATTTTAATTTTTTACAAAATTACTGGAGAAAATGCTAGAGAGCTTGTTGAAGAAAATCTGAAATAGACTTTTTAGGCCACTGAACATGAAATAAGTATCATCTTTCAAAGACGCATGGAAAAGGTGTTTGTCTTTTTTATTGGTCTCACCAAGCACAGGGCCCTCACCAAGTACAGAAACAGCAAATGCCGTTGAGACACTGAGAGGCTCCCACATTGACTATAACTATCTATTCTGCTGGAGGAGAGGAGGGAAGGATTGAGAACTAGAGTATGGCATCAGGGACCAGCCATTTCCCATAACTCTCTCAAAAACTCCAAAGGGAGTCTGTTAAACACAAAGAGAAATAAAGGAAGAGTCATGTAGATTTTTCTACTTCCAAAAGGACACACACTTTCCTCTCTTGAATTACCCATAAAACAACCTTAACTCTCTACTTTTCCTAGTTTTTAGAAATTGTCTCCATGGCAGTACTAGTCTAAATTGTGCAACTTGCTTCATATCAGGTTTGTTTTCTCCGTACCTGGTTCCCCAGGAAACCTGAGCTTTACCTACAGGTCTGATTTTCACCCTGTCCCCACCAACCGGCATTCAACATGGCTCTTCTAAAGCACTAGAAGTCCATATCATGCACTGATGTTTCACAGACCTGAACTGGGCATCTCCATTGCATACACCCAAAAAGTAACATGGTGATTCAGAGAATGAGGAGGAGACCAGTCTATGTTTCCACTAAGGTAGTCAAAGAACATTCTCACGAAGGTATAGAGGAGAGGAACTGTCAAGAGCGGGGCAATATTTGTAAGGAAGATGCAATCATTACCATACAGAACACATCTGCCAGGGAATTGACTGGAGATTCTCCAGGACATATTCAAAAAATAAACAATGCATTGCAACACCAGAGGCGTGCTGAAATAGGCTCCTCGCCCCCCCTTCTCTTCAGTATGAGGAGTTAGAAGTCACTCTCAGGAATAGCAAAGAACCCTCCTTAGGGACAATCACGATGCATGAAGAGGGGTATTTATTTTTAAGGCAACAGGAATAAATTTCATTGTCCTTCCCAGAGGAGAGCCAGAATTACATTAGGTGGCCACCAAGTCTGGAAACCAGGCAAATCTTTAATAAATGTTTTATTGATATTACATTACAAAGAATGACAAAATTGTATCATCTATATTTCTAGACTTAATGGCCACCCCACAGAAAGCATCTTTGGAATAGAAAGAAAAAAAATTAAGAATTTGTTTTCCCATAATCACAAAGCTGTCATACTCAGTCTGGGCACAGCTAGTGCAACATTTTCCTCAACCCACAGGCTCCATTCCCTTTACCAACTATTTATAATATGTTTGGGTCACTCACAGGAGAAAAACACTGTCAGCATCAATATTTAGCAGCATTTCAAAATACATTTTTTTTGTCTTGAATAAAAAGCTAAACTATTCTTTTAGTGCAGTAATTCCATATGGTCTTATTACTTCTATACACAAGATATGATTCTTTAACATGTATGTAGTATCTCCCATTTTTCTGAAGACTCCCAAAGACTTTGAGGATTTTATTTTTTCATAATAAAAGAAAAGAGCAGTGTCAACCCATGAGGGTCAGCCCAGCAGCGTAAGTAGACCCTCTGCAGAGCTCAGTTCCTGCTGCAAGAAGCATCTGGACACCCTCCCCTCACTCTCGGCTCTTAGAAAGGAATCTGAGAGAGATAAAAGCAGTAACTATCTATTACTTCATAGTCTAGGAAGGGAGAAAACAGATGTACCAAAATACAGTCTAATAAAAATACTAGAAGCCAAATCCTTTCATTCCAGGATGTCTGAAAAAGGAGAGACTCTACAGAGCATGGAGGCAGAAAAAGGTATCACTCCGAACAGAAAAGCTAATTGTGGACAGTCACTCAAGGCCAGAGAAGTGACCACAGAGCAACTGGCTTCAATCGCACGGTCACCAGGAAGGGCACATACCAGAGAACTTGGGACAAGGCCGGGGCTACTGCCCTTGGCATTCTCAGGCCACCTGGTGCTGTGGTTCAACAGCCTTTGGAGGGCAGGGAGAACCAGAGGCCAACACCATCACGTGTTAAAAGGCTACTATGGCAACAATGTGATGGTCAGAAATCAGCTAGAGTTTGGGTTATACACCCTTTGAAATCCAGCCTGTACGTGCTTTCTTGTGAAGGGCTTGAGACGTGCAGAGACATCCTAGACATGTGTGGGTGACCCTTCATCAGAAAGGCAGAGAAGAGCCTCTTCATTAACTCTTTATCCTCATTTGTTTTCATTTCAGTTCACCATTTAGACTAGAAAAGACGCTGCAAGCTATCCCCGCTAGCTTCTAATTTGGACACGGCACCAATACTACACATACAACTGAATGAATGACATCTTCCTGGTTCTTCATTGGGCGGGCTCAGTATGCTTCTTTGGACTGAATAGGTGTGATCTTGTTTGAGAAAAGCGTGTAAACATAGGGCCAGATTTTGTTAGTCTCCGTCCCAGAAAATTGGTGAAGCACTCCTCGGCTCCTGAAAAATAAAATCCAACACATAAACGCATTTTAGGTTCACTTTTTTTTTAAATGTTTATTTTTGAGACAGAGAGAGAGAGAGAGAGAGAGAGAGAGAGAAAGAATGCACAGGGGAGGGGCAGAGAGAGGGGAGACAGAGGACCCAAAGTAGGCTCTGCACTGACAACAGGAAGCCCAATGTGGGGCTCAAACTGACAAACTGTGAGATCATGACCTGAGCTGAAGTCAAAGTCAGATGCTTAACCAACTGAGCCACCCAGGCGACCCTTAGATTTCTTTTTAACATGATATTAGGGCAGGTGAAGATCCTGGGTATAAAGCAAACATGATCTCATGGTCTATCACACACACTGCTAAGTGCCAAAGCAGCCCCCGCAAATGTATCAACACCTGCACTTGGGGATACTTAAATAAGGCCACAGCTTTTACAATTCTGGCATGCCTAGCATGATGCCACCTCTTCTTCTCCTATTTAAAACATATCAAAGAGGGGCGCCTGGGTGGCTCAGTCAGTTGAGTGTCTGACTCTTGATTTTGACTCGGGTCACGATCCCAGGATCATGGGACTGAGCCCCGTTGACAGGCTCCACACTGAACATGCAGCCTGCTTAACATTCTCTCTTTCTCTCTCTCCTGCCCCTCTCTGTGGCTCACATGTTCTTAAAAAAACAAAAAAAGAGGGGCGCCTGGGTGGCTCAGTCGGTTAAGCGTCCGACTTCGGCTCAGGTGATGATCTCACAGTCCGTGAGTTCGAGCCCCACGTCGGGCTCTGTGCTGACAGCTCAGAGCCTGGAGCCCATTTCAGATTCTGTGTCTCCCTCTCTCTCTGCCTCTCCCCTGTTCATGCTCTATCTCTCTCTGTCTCAAAAATAAATAAACGTTAAAAAAAATTAAAAAAAAAAAAGAAAAGAAAAAAAAAGAAAAACATATCCAAGAATAACATTATATGGACAATACCAAATTTGCCTCAGTACACACTTTCAAAAAACAGATCACTGGGGCACCTGGGTGGCTCAGTCAGTTAAGCATCTGACTTCGGGTCAGGTCACGATCTCAAGGTTCCTGAGTTTGAGCCCCGTGTCCAGCTCTGTGCTGACAGCTTGGAGCCTGGAGCCTGCTTCGGATTCTGTGTCTCCCTCTCTCTCTACCCCTCCCCTCACTCTGTCTCTCTCTCCCTCAAAAATAAATAAACATTAAAAATTAAAAAAAAACAAAAAAAACAGATCATTGACAAATTTTGGTACTATAAAACCCTTGTTACTTACAACAGATCACAAAACACAGGATAGATCATAGTAACATGATCAGGAACTTCTAATCTAAAGGCCTGCTAAATTATTTGGGAGCTGAAGGGTCAGAAATTGATTTATAGTGGAGGCTGTAGACAGCTGTCCTGAATGCAGTCTGCAAATGGGTTTTGTTTGGTTTGCACACTGTTAAAAATGTTATCTGTTGTTAATAGTTTTAAAAATTGGGATTTACACACACACACACACACACACACCCCGCTCCCACATACACACAAAGGCAGATTTCTGCTTCTCCTGAGAAATAGGTATCACTAGCCACTCTGGGTCTGAGTGCCCCTGTGGTAATAATTGGCTGAACATCATACAGCAGCTGTACAGTTCAACTGTCACTCACCTGCCCAGATTAACACAGCCATACCAGGTTTGACACTCATTTCCAATACCTGCCTGGCCCCTGGAACCATATGAATCTGCCATCTGTACCTTATAGTTTTAGCTTTTTTTTTTCCTTTGGTTAAATTCCCTCCTAGACATAGCTAGTCAGGAGGTCCCTTCTAATCGTCCATCCAAATGACATACGTGGGAGTGTCCAAATATAAACCATTATTTCAGCTCCTTAAAAAGAAAGATGAGGGGCGCCTGGGTGGCGCAGTCGGTTAAGCGTCCGACTTCAGCCAGGTCACGATCTCGCGGTCCGTGAGTTCGAGCCCCGCGTCGGGCTCTGGGCTGATGGCTCAGAGCTTGGAGCCTGTTTCCGATTCTGTGTCTCCCTCTCTCTCTGCCCCTCCCCCGTTCATGCTCTGTCTCTCTCTGTCCCAAAAATAAAATATATAAAAAAAAAAAAAAAAAAAAAAGAAAGATGAATATAATTCTACACATAATTTTACAACCAGACAGAGAGGATCAGGTTTCAGTCCTTGTATTACAAGAATTTCAGCATAAAAGAACTGGACTATATCTCCCATGTACAACCCCCAACATTTCACCTGACCTGCAGGGAGGAACTGGGCCTTTAGGATTTATCTAGCTTAAAGAAACACTACCCTACCTCAGTCCAGTGTCCTTCCCACTGGGCACCATACTGTTTTAATTGGCCCTCCGCCATGAAAATGTTGAAGCACACTCACTTGTATAATTCAATGACTGGCTTTGCCACATCCTTGTACTGTCTTAGCCGGGCAGCAACTGCTTCAGGTTTATCATCCTCCTGCTGGACTAATGGTTCACCAGTAATGTCATCAATCCCCTACAAATACCAGAGAAACCAGTTAATACGGCCAATAGCTGGGCCATTCCATAGATGAAAAACTTTCCTATGCAAACCCATGTATTCACCTTTGACCCCTCCCACATGATGAATTAGGCCTGATGACAATGGTAATAGTGAAAGTAGTTGAAAAAAAGAAATAACACTCTTAACAGTATGTTAACCTTATCCATTAAGAGCTGACATGAAATTGTTATTAACTTCTCAGATCTTTCTGAACATGTTACACTGCTACTGATAAATGATGTTTTCAATTTATAGTTTAAAACTCCATGCTGCCTCCCCCAACAATAAACGACCTTTAGACACTATCACTCTGGCCCTCTAAATATTCCTAAAACAGCCTTGCTTTCTAAAGTTTGAGCTGTTAATAAGGAAAATAAATCATCTCAAAGAACCAGGTGGTTTACTTAGGAGAACACTGATCTAGGAGAAGGTATCTCTCTCCTACCTCTGCTAGCTTTCAAATCCTTTTCTGAGATTAATCTTACTCAGGCTATTTTACTAGATCACATAATGACTTGCCTAAAGGTAGATTAAATAGGCATGAATCATATACCTATGATAAACAAGAACAAACATTCCGAGAACTGAAAAGCTGCAATTCTAAGAACCTGATTTTTGACATATTTTAACCTTCTCAGGAAACATATCTACTTAAAAATGGCAACGTGCACATAAGAAGATCTTGCCTCCTGTGTCCACGGCTATTACCCACCAGGGGAGATAGTCACATGAAATAAATCTGTCAAAAGGCAGGCTAGAGCAGAACCAAAAGGTTCAGGCAACTCAACTGGATAATCAGAAACCAGCTATAAATTTGAAACACACTAAAATTCCATTACAGCTCAAGGCCTTGGGTACATAATTTATGCTTATGATTTGTTGGTGAGCCCCATAATCATCACATGTGTATTCCATGGCTGTTACCCTGACACAACAGGAGAGATGGGGGTGGGGGAAAGCTGTACATCACCTCTACTTTCATCTCCTTATGGTTGCAAAGCTCAGAAGTCATTTCTAGGACCTCAGAGCACCAGTGAATACAACAACTACTTCTAGAACGAGCAGAATGATGCTGGGGTGACAGCATCCCTCCTTCCAGGACAGCCTGGCCACAGTGGCTGGTAGAGGTAGCCCAGACTAGCACTTCCACTGCTGACTTTGGGGGCAGCACTGTAATAACTGCAGGTGTTCTTTTAGTATACCCAGTCTTTGGAAAGCAACTTAATATTAAAGGTTCTCAAACTTTAAGAGAATCTTTGCTTCAGCAGGGCTAGGAGGAGCTAAAATGTGAAGCATCTGTGTTGGACTTCAGTGCAGATTCAGAACCCTCTTTTCCCCTCCATCATTTTTCCCCCTCTACTAGCTTCTTGAAAAAGAAAGGAGGAAGGGGCGCCTGGGTGGCGCAGTCGGTTAAGCGTCCGACTTCAGCCAGGTCACGATCTCGCGGTCCGTGAGTTCGAGCCCCGCGTCGGGCTCTGGGCTGATGGCTCAGAGCCTGGAGCCTGTTTCCGATTCTGTGTCTCCCTCTCTCTCTGCCCCTCACCCGTTCATGCTCTGTCTCTCTCTGTCCCAAAAAATAAATAAATGTTGAAAAAAAAAAGAAAAAGAAAGGAGGAAGGGACCTAATACAGGAATTCCAGAAGTATTTACTATATTTTTAAAAAGATTTCTGGGGCACTGGGGTAGCTTAATTAGTTAAGCACCGACTTCAGCTTAGGTCATGATCTCATGGTTCGTGGGTTCGAGCCCCTCATCAGGCTCTGTGCTGACAGCTCCGAGCCTGGAGCCTGCTTTGGATTCTGTGTCTCCTCTCTCTGCCCCTCCCCAACTCATGCTCTTTCAAAAATAAACAAACGTGAAAAAGAAAAAAAAAGACTTCAAAAGGCAACTAGTTCATTTCGCCCAAATGAATAAGACTCACTGGAACTTTATCAATGGCGTTCATGAGCTGGGAAGGCATCCTTACCCTCTTGAAGATGGTTTTCTGTAGTAATTATTGACTCTATCAATATTCAGGTCTACCTATTCCATACACATTAATCCAATAAGATACAACGGTCAACTTTTTCACATTTGGAGGATTAAAAATAATACTATCTGCCTCCCCATAATTGGAGTTAAGAATCATATTGAACTAATTCCTATCATTACCAGAAAGAACAGTAATTCTTTAAATGAGTTCATTAACTTAAAAAGTTTCTTGGGGCACCTGGTAGCTCAGTCGGTTAAGCACTGACTCTTGATTTTGGCTCAGGTCATGATCTCACAGTTCATGAAATCGAGCCCCACGTTGGGCTCTATGCTGACAGCATGGAACCAGCTTGGGATTCTCTCTCCCCCTCTCTCTCTCTGCCCCTTACCCACTGCACACACACTCTCTCTCTCTCAAAAATAAAATAAACATTTAAAAAAATAAAGAAATTTCTTTAAACATGTACCTTTATACATGCTTATTTTATGTAAACATGCTGTTTTTTTGAACTTGCTATTCCTCTAGTCTTCCCCCTTTACATCCTTACTCCATCTCTCCCATGACCCCGCCCACTTTAACCCCAGTTCTTCATCCAGACCCAGTGTTAACCATTTATCCCTGGTCTTATGAAGCCAGAGAGCACTTATAAACACACACACAAACAGATATGTGTAAAGAAAGACAGCCACTGTTTTACAAAAATGGAATCATTGTGCTATTTGCTTTTCATATTCAGTAATACACCTGGAGGAAATGTTTCTTCAGGTCAAAGTATATAGCACAAAGTCTTTCTTTTTACTGACTACAAGACGTAGATATTCTCTAATTCATTTAATCATCCCCTGCAAATGAGCATTCATTTTTGTTTTCAGATTGTTTTGTTTTTCCCTAAAATCAACACTGGAATAAGCGACACTGTGTACATGATCTTACCTGCTAGTGCTTTCATTTCCATAACCTATACTGCCAGTGGTGGGTTGAATGAAATAAAAATTCTAATGTAGGGGCGCCTGGGTGGCTCAGTCGGTTCAGTGATGACTTCAGCTCAGGTCATGATCTCACAGCTTGTGAGTTCAAGCTCCACATCAGGCTCTGTACTGACAGCTCAGAGCCTGGAGCCTGCTTCGAATTCTGTGTCTCCCTCTCTCTCTGCCCCTCCCCCACTCACACTCTGTCTCTCTCTCTCTCTCAAAATAAACATTAAAAAAAATTTTTAATGTACATTGCTAGATTGCTTTTTAAAAAGACTACAAATACTAGGTCTGATAAAGATGAGAGTATCATTTTTCTCAGATCCCCACCAGCAATAGATGTTATAAACTTGAATTTGCCTTCTTTGACCACTAGTGAATGAGAAATTTCAAATACATTTGGCCATGTAGATTTGTTCTTTTTTGAATCATCTATTCATATCCTTCCTATACTTTACAACCGAAATGCTGTGCCTCTTTCTTGTCAGTCTGTCAAAGGGCCCTGTATAGTCTTACATGCACATGAGGTGGATTGAAGTCCAGGTTATACACCCTTCCACTGGGAGGGTGAATCCAACGTCGGCTGAGACGGTCTTTGAGTGTTTCAAATGGAATGTTCAAAGTGATCACTAGATCCAGCTCGCAGATTCTGTCCAGGGCTTCAGCCTGTACTAATGTCCTAGGAAAACCTAAATGCCAAAAACAAAACATATCAAATGCAAGACATTTCCCAATTCCAATGAGTCAATGAAATATTTTCAGTGACAGAATAATCAAATCTATACATATGTCACCCAGAATGAAGTTTTTATCAGACATTTATGTCTACCTCCTTAAATTTAATGCTAGAAGAAAATAGGCTACTTTAAAACCCAGTTTTGGCATTTGGGACACTGAAAGATTAAGGGGTCACATGACACAAGCAGAGAGTATACTAAACTAAAAAAACACTAAACCAGTTCTAGCTTTGCTCTTAACTACTCATGTAACCCTAGGCAAGTTATATCACCTCCATTTCCTCTTCTGTTAAAGAAGTGAAGGAACAAAATTATATTTGTGTCCTTTTATAGCTTTAACAGCTGATAAGTATATTATTCATAGGCTATCCCCAAAATTATATATACATATACACGTATATATTTTTTCTCCATTCCCCACTCTTACAAAACTCAACATGTGGTCTGCAATCTAGTACAGTAACCACAGAAGTGAGAAAAAGCATTTAGGAATTTTATAGCAATTCTACAGTAATTTCAAGCCTAGTGAATCTAAAATTTATGGTTGAATTTGTGGTTTTCTTTTAATTTTTCTAGTAATTTGCTCTTGTCGTATTTGATAAAAGGATTGCTCTGCAGTAGATGGCGGGGGGGGGGGGGGGGGGGGGGGGTGCGAGAAACTGGAAGCTCCAGGCTTCCCTTGGAGCTTATTTTCTAATTTCTCCAATAAGGAAAATTATCCAACGGTCCCCATAGTGTCTAACCTGTGATGTTGTTTATTACAGAAGATGAAGTTACATCTTTTCCAAAAAGACACAAGAATAGAGAGCACCAAACCTGGGGCATGTGTTCAACTCTATTGTTATGACAGGGAAAGAAAAGGCAAGTTCAAACAGAGGTGGGAAAAAGCTTATCTTGCAGGGCAGATCTCAGTTCATTAGCTATCACATGGCTAACACAAGGTAATCACAGGCTCCCAGAAGAAACTGCCTTCACATTCTTGTATGCTGTCCTCCCATGACCCATTAATGCATTTGGACTGGCTTCAACAGAGAAATACGTTATTTCTAATTTTTTTAAATGCTTATTTATTTTTGAGAGAGAAAGAGACAAAGTCAATGTAGGAGGGTCAGAGAGAAAGGGAGACAGAGTCTGCAGCAGGCTCCAGGCTCCAAAGTGTCAGCACAGAGCCTGGCGTGGAGCTCAAACCCACGAGCCGTGAGATCATGACCTGAGCCAAAGTCAGATGCTTAACCAACTGAGCCACCCAGGCACCCCTAGAAATAGGTACTTCTAATCCTGCAGCCCAGGTGTTGCCTGAGCCAATAGCCCAGCATTGTCTCCCTCCTCCCAGAGTGACTCTCTGGCTAAGCATCCTCTTCACAAAAAAGGCACCCACACACTGGGAAACTATACAAGAAGTACGTTCATGGTGGTTTTCTTTGCAGTGGGAAGATGGGGGATTCCTTTCTACTCTTCTAGTTTCTCATTTTTTTTAATTGAGCATACAGTGCTTTCAGAATGGAAACAAAATTCTGCCCTTAAATCCACTGCTAAGTGGATTTTTTTCAAATCTCAATATAATTTGTTAGACCAAGTTATGATTACTTAACATTTAGGGAAATGAAAGGTCAAACTGTATCTGCCTAAGGTCAAGCACACTGTGGAGACGTGGCCTTAACACTGTCACACAGTGGGCAAACATTTCCATGTAACACTAGGGTAGCTGTCTTCTAGTCTTCTGTTCAGTGGCCATACTTATTTGACCAGTTACCTTATTTTAAAATCCCAGTTTAATTCTGTGAAATTACAGGACTCTGTCAAGCTCTGTAAACTCATTATGTAATTTTTTCTTTCTATTATGGAATGGCTTGACTGCTTACATATGAACTTATTAAGCGGCCTCTCTTTTGATTATTAAGTTCAAAAAGAAACTTAATTTTAGAATTGGGGCTTCACAGCAACTGGATGTATCCTGGAGCTTCAAATATATGATAACTACCAGGCAGATAATAACGTGATACTCTCTGGGTCACCAAGGAGCAAGATTTGGCCCCAAGTGGGCCCTCATGGCTCAATTCAATCTATGGCTACATAGGTTGGATGGTAGGCAAGGAGTCTCAGAAGAGTCCAGATAAAACCATGCCTCCTTTACTTTTCCACCAAATTCCTTATTGAATACTACACATACCCTCAACCAGGTCCTTTTTTCCATCTCCCTTTCTCCAACAGCTCACTCTAGGTCAGACTGGGGATGCTGCAGAGAGAACTTTGTTAGCAAACCTGGAGCCCCAGACTTAAGTCTATTAGTCAACTTTAGCCTAAGTTCCCCTACACTGTGCACCACAGTCTGCTTTAGAAGATGGGTTTCCTGAAATGGGATTTAGGATATGCCTTACTCCCTTTGTTATTCTCTGGCACTGTACCTGGGACATTCTAAACTGAAATTCCAGCAAAGTGAGGGCAGTGAGCCTTCCCCAGAAGGGCACTCTTTCCCTGACTGCCAGGTTCTAGCTTTCCCTGCAGAGCCCACTCTTCATGAAGGCTCCAAAGTGACAACTGGAGGGGCGCCTGGGTGGCTCAGTCAGTTAAGCATCCAACTTCTGCTCAGGTCATAATGTCATGGTTCGTGGGCTCGAGCCCCATGTCGGGCTCTGTGCTGACAGCTCAGGAGTCTGGAGCCTGCTTTGGATTCTGTGTCTCCCTCTCTCTCTGCCCATCCCCTGCTCATGCTCTCTCCTCTCTCTCAAAAATAAAAAAAAAAAATTCAAATTGACAACTGGAGTTAGATTTAGAGGCCTACAGCCAAAACAACCCCAAGATCAATCTCTATGCTTTCCCCAAATCCTTTTTCAAGGAAAAGTCATTTTCTAAATCAGTGGCTTCCAAAGGGACCCTTGCTAGAGTATGAAAAGAAAACAGAGCCTCTGTTGCATTGTTTTGTTCACTGTTTTTCAGATTCTAGTTTGGAGAGTGCATTTTATAAGGTATATGGTAGTAAAACTGTATATGCACATAATTCACACATATCCATATACTGAAGATACAAAGTAAACATTTTTACTGAAAATTGTGCACAAAGAATTTTAGAAATCACTCCTCTGAGGACCTGAGTTCTCAGCCTCAGTCCCTGTCCTGGGGTTCTCAGCATCACTAGCCACTAGCCTGACAATAAAACATTGTTCTTTATCCTTTGCATAAAATATAGAAACTGAGTACAGCGTCAACAAAGAATAGGAAGCTCTGAAAGAGAATACACAGTTCCTCCCACAAATAAAAGCTCAAATCTTATCGGCTAAAGTTTCTAGCCTAAAGACCGGTCTGTTCAACTCCCCCACAACTGTTTCTGAACTCTGGTGCCCTCTGGAGGAATGGGTGGAAAATGCAACTGTGTACCAAATAAACTCGAAACAGATTTCAAAAATGTTAGGTAGTGTCTACCTTCTAGGCTTTCACATTCAGACCCACTAATGACCAGAGAATCATTAATTCTTGTGGCTTAGAGGTTTTCTGTTAGGACAGAAAACCTCCCATCCTCAAAATGAGGATAGCCTCCCATCCTCAAAATGTGTTAAAGTTGAAAGAACCATGGAAAATACAGAAGCCTACATAATGAAAGCTAAAATGTAAGAGTTATATTTTAAGATGCTAATGTTGTTGGAATGCAACCATTTTTATGGTTCAGAAGTACCAACAAGAGAAATAAGTCATTCCACAACTTTAAGGGTTCTCCATCTGATGGGGCACATCAACATTATCAGGGAAGACTTACAAGGGGGGAAAAAGAGCTTACGGGTACTCAGATTCCATACCATTCTTCCTAGAATGGATCATCTGGGAGCAGGAGCAGGACTTAGGTATTTTTTTTAAAGTTATCTAGGTGACTCGGACTGGTTAAGAACCACCAAACTTCTCAGTGACAGCAACAGTGTAAGTGCAAAACTAACTACTTGTATCTATCCCATTCGGGGGAAGTTTCAACAGTTCTTTTAAACAGGTACAAAAGCACTTTGCAGAGAATCCTCTTTACCTCAGTTTCATGGCAAGAGGAGAACTGGGAAGGAAATTCCCAGAGACAAATCTTTCCAGATTCACTAAGCCCCTAACTCAAGCCACCTGTTTATGCTATTCCTGTCCAGGATCTTACCTGTAAAAAAAAGTGGTGTGGCAAGGGAAAGTACAGTATAACAGAACAGTGGGCAAAGATCTGGATGCCAGCTGTGGTTTCAAAAGCGAGGAGAAGCAGCAGTAAGCCAGAAACCTCAGGGCTCGGTGGGACGTGTCTGGAACCACACACACCTGGACTTCATTCCCAGTTTTCCCTAGCCAGAACTGCAAGAACATCCACCAGCTTTGTGTAATCTCTCTGGTCCTTAGTTTTCTCAGATATAAAACAAGGGCGTATCAATTTGCTGGGGTCGCCATAACAAAGTACCACAGAATAGGTGGCTTGAACAACAGAGATTTAAGGTCTCATGGTCCTGGAGGCTAAAAGTCTGAGATCGAGGTGTCAGGGAGGGTTGGTTCCTTCTGAGGCTTCACTCGGCTTGCAGATAGCTTCCTTCTCCCTGTCTCCCATAGGATTTTTCCTCAGTGTGTGTCTGTATCCTAACTTCCTCTTCTTATAAGGACATTACACTAGTCATTGCAGATTAGGGCCCACCCTCATGACCTCATTTAACTTAATTACCTCTCCAGTGACCTTATCTCCAAAAAAGAGTCAAATTATAAGGTACTAGGGGTCAGGACTTCCAACAGATGAATTTAAGGTGGTGGGGGCAGGGGACACAACTCAGTCCATAACAAAAGGTAATGCCTACTGCATGGCTGTTTTGAGGATTAAGAGAGACAATCTTTCTAGAATGTTTAAGATGTAAAGTGTTAGGCACAGAGTGAGCACTCAATAAATGGCCGCTGCTGCTCTAGGTAGAGCTCTCCTGGGGGCTCAACTGGTTTCCCAGTTCAGCGTGAAG